CTTTTTATGGTATTTTATTGTCTTTTTATGGTATTAGCTCTGTAATGAATGTTTGTTCATCTGTAACGCCCACTGACACAAACACGTTTTGTATATAAATACACTTTGAATTGATTCGATAAGACGTTTCCAACTCATGAGAAAATCACATATATTGATATTGCAACATTATGTTAGGGTTGACTGTTTACAATGACATGTTTATCTATTACATTCATAGAAAAGCAGCTCAGAAAACGACAATCTGATTGTTGTGTAGATTGTTAAGCCAGGAAATGACACTTTTGTAATATGACGATATCAGAAATCTGAGACTACAACTAGTTTCATATCAAAATATTGATGTAATAACAATACGTGCCGTCTGTGTCAACTGTTCGCTCACATTTAAGTGGCTGCTAAATACATCTGAGCAGTCGCTTGATATGAACAAGACAGGAAAGATAACAGAACACGAGCAGAGTTTGAACTTCTTACAGCTTCTTAATAATCTTAAAGGGATGGCCGTGGCTCAGTGGATAGTGCGCTGAACTTGGAATCAGGCCGTAGCAAGTTCGAGTCCCACTCCCACTGCAGTCAGCATGTCGTTGTGTCCCTGGGACACTTGCTCTGATTGCTCACAGTACTGAATGTATGTGAGTCGCTTTGGATAAAAGTGAGTAACATGAAATGTTAAAACAGTGCTCAGACATTCCCAACCAGCCCGTTCAATGCTTTTCTTACTGCGCCTGAAGTCAGAAAGCGAATGAACCCCTGAGGTTACTCTTCTTTTTGATATGCCAGTTATGAACAGAGAGTAACATGACCTTTAATAAAAGAAAACACAGTTAAAGTTGCACTTTCTCAATGCATTTTAACCGGTCATCTGATTGTGTGTTGAATTTGCACTATCCCCCTTTTATTGCACAATTTCATCGTTGTACCTTTAATCTAAAATGTGTTTGCTACCATTTGCTATTTTTAGTTTGTTCTTAAGTCTTTTACTGGTAACTGTATTCGGTGTGATATCTCTGTGAAATGTCCATGTGAAGCACCTTGAACTGCACTTGTTGAAAGGTGCTATACAAATGATTATTATGATTATTAAAGTGTACCTTCCCGGTCTGCAGCAGGACGTGCTGAGGGGCTTTTTCATCGGCAGCCAGCGGGTCTCTCTGACTCCTGTGCACGAGGTGAAAGGTCACCGCCTTCTTCTTCTCAATGAACGACTTCTTCTTTCGATGAGGCTGTGAGACAGTGAGGAGGGATTAGTGCAGATCGCAGGTGAATATATATAACAGGAGAGTCTTAAATGAAAGAGATAAAGGACAGGAAAGGTGGATTTCCCGCTGTAGAAATCCATCACTGAGGATTCTGCTTTTATATTCCGAAAGTGACTTTACCCGTTCACACTGTTGGCGAGATGGCTGTTATTTTATACATTTTCATGCAGAAATGATTGTTTTCCGACTCATAAATAGCATATTTCTCTGTTTTATTGTATATCTATCTGAATATTTCAGGCTTTGACAAAACAAGACATTTTAACTGAACTTATTGAAACTGGGATGGACATTTCTACTACTTTGTGAGATTTGAAAGACCATAATTCGTGAAAATAATCGTGACATTAATTGATAGATTGTCATTAGTTAGAGCCCTTGCAAAACAGCATGATCCTGACTGAAACCTGTATAAATATATATATCAGAGATTCCCGATCTAATATTTGCACCCTTTTCTACTTGGTAAAGCAATGTTAAGTTTATTCTTACAAACATATTATGATCTTATTGAATACGATACATTGCTATAGGTCAACTAACAAACTATGCAAATAAGTAAACAACCTTAATAGTGAAGGTACTTTATTACAATTATGTTTGCTTTTTAACAACTACCTAACAGCACACATATATGGGCTTCTGTGTATCTCAATATTCCAACACTTTGTCGAATAAACAACACACTTAACATTAAAAGGTACGTTATATAAACAACTATAATAGGTCTCTTCTGTATCTTTGGTGGTAGTTAAGTTAAATCATGTTTCTACCAAGTTCCCTTCACTTTAAACACCTGAGTTAGCTTGCTACCAAAACAACAGGGAAGATACAACTTTATTCAAGCCTAGAACTTTCTTAATGAAGTTATGTAAGTACAATACGATAACATATAATTAGTTGACGGTGATATTTCCCATCATAACAGTGTTTTTCTCATGAACGCACCACACACGGACAAGTGACTGTAGCCGCAGTTAGCTTGCAGATTAGCTTAGGTTAGAAACCTCATCTTACCATTGTGTAACGGAGTCTCTGCTAATTTTCTTTGACTAATCGGGTTTAGAGATGATCAAATGTTAAACTACAGTTGGCTGTTATTACAACTAGCAGTTTAAATCCACAAAGTGTCGTTGTTGTTGTTTATCCACGCTGGCTTCCCCTTCACCATGCTGCTGCTACCATTACTGGAAAGAACCATTGCGGAGACCAACGGGGGGGTTGAAAACGATATTAATATGATTTAAGACATAATACGGGATATTTCTTCGTTGTGTTAGAATACTGATCAATTATGGATTGTGGGTGAATGATGGGTCGATTGTGTTTGTATTTATAATGTAATTCATTTAATTGTAGAGTGTGTTTGTATTCTCTCTACACCGTGTATTGTTGGTATAGTCCATAGTAGTCTTTCTCTTTTCATGTACTGAAGGTTGAAAAAACGGCGTGTAAGCTCATGACCGCCACCTAGTGGATACACAAAAAACATTAGTAAAACAAAAAACAGTTAATAAAATCATTAATATCCTTAACTAAAATAATAAAAGTACTCATGGTATACTGTGAAAATACTCATCTCAAAATCCTGTATTCAAAACCCTACTTGTGTGAAAGTATGCTAAATGTACTCAATGTTTGAAAAGTAAAGTATTAATTTTGCAGTACATTTTCCAAGTCATGTGTTTTGCTATTATAAACACATGGACTACCTATGTTAACTTGTAAATGTATTATCTTTTCGATTTACACACGGCATCTATTGCACGTCTGTCTGTCCTGGGAGAGGGATCCCTCCTCTGTTGCTCTCCCTGAGGTTTCTCCCATTTTCCCTTTAAACTGTGGGTTTTCTCTGGAAGTGTTTCCTTGTACGATGTGAGGGTCTAAGGACAGAGGGGTGTCGTATTGTCATACTGATATTCTGTACACACTGTGAAGTCCACGAGACAAATGTAACATTTGTGATATTGGGCTATATAAATAAACATTGATTGATTGATTGATAAATGATTGCTCTTCGAGGATTAATATTACAGCTTCATTTATGAGTATGATCCATTTTATTGCTGTGGATATAAAGATATATATGAACATAGGCTCCAAATAACAATGCTCATACAATTAGGTACATTTCATTATCATCTTTTGAAATGTTTCAGCAGCTAAAATATAGTAATTCATTGTAGGCTACATGTAGTATATGCATATATTGGTGTACTTTACATGCATGACCTTTTGTCTTCATTGTTGTCATTCCACTCCATGCAAGGGATTCCTTATAAGGTGAAGTTATTCAGTTAGCAATACTTCATAACCTGCAGAGTAAGGGTTTGAATGCTTGCTTTGTTTAGGTTCCTGCCCATGAAGTGAAGGTGTGGAGGAAAAAGAAGGTGTGGACGTGCCTGCCAAACAGACACTGATCACACACTCGCTTCAATGAGTAAAGCTGAGGTCAAATGATAAGTTTAGTGAGCTCATAAAAGTACTATTATTATCAACATATTATGATCTTATTGAATATGATGCTTTGCTGTAGATTTAACTACCTAACTGTATATAAAGAGGTTAACATTAGGCAGAGGTGGGAAGTAACTAAGTACAATTACTCAAGTACTGTACTTAAGACATTTTTTGAGTTACTGACTTGAGTATTTTCATGTTATACTTGGTACTTCCACTTCACTATAATTCAGAGGTAAATGGTGTACTTTTACTCCACTACATGTATTAATACGTAAGGGATATGTGCAGCAACGCGGTCATTATGGGGAAAAGAACACCGACAGGCTGATCAGGAGCCCGACGCGAAGCGGAGGGATCTAGATCGGCATGAAGGTGTTCTTTTCCCCATAATGACCAAGTTGCTGCACATTATCCCGCTTATTACATGGCCACATTCTCAACAAAGTAACATTATGAATCCCAATATTAATTGAAATGCTTTATGGATTTAGAAAATTATTTTATTGATTTAAAAAATAGTTGTATTGATTTAAATTGACATGCATCCGCTAAGAAAAATAGTCCGTTGTTACCGTTTGAACTAACGTAGCAACGGCAGCGTTTTTGAGGAGCTTTTTGATTACAGATTTGAAAACATCGCTGCTTGCTTTAAAAGTAGCACAATTCATGATGTCAAACCTTGGGAAGTATCTAGATATCCCTGCCCTAATGCCAAAGTAACTGGCAACTGAATATGTGAAGGAGGGTTTCTGCCCGTTACTTCTCCGCTGTTTTCTTGTCCCTCTTGTCTTTTTATTTTCTTCACTGGGGCCTCATCAGCCACTAACCATTCCTCCAAATTACTGTACTCTCCAAATATATTCAAATTAATGTTAAAATCCTCCATGTTGCTATCACACGACAGCGGAAAACTAAAGACAATCAGACAGCTTGCTTTTCAAACTGTTACATTTGAAAAACAGTTAGAGGGTCTCTTGTCAGTTTGAAAAGCCAACGGTAGGAACTGCTTGCGTTTTTGCAGCTTTTTGATTATAGATTTGAAAACATCGCTCCTTGCTTTAAAAGTAGCACAATTCATTATGTCAAACCTTGGAAAGTATCTAGATATCCCTGCCCTAATGCCAAAGTAACTGGCAACTGAATATGTGTATCTCAACCTGTCGTTCAATGGACAGCTTCCCCCCCCCCCCCCCCATCTATGTATATACTCGCATTTTAGACTCTGTTACTAACTGTATATCTGTAGACTTGGTATGTCTTAAATGTCCGGTTAGGATGTATTGGAACGACATCTAAAATGAAAATTGTAAATAAGCAATCTGTATGTAAAAAACCACCTGTATGTAAATTGTAAATAAGCCATCTGTATGTCTTATGTCTTATATGTCTTAAATGACATGATGAATTGGAAATGGGGGACCCTGATGTAAACAAGACGAAAGTCTTTCTCTGGTCTGCATCCCCTTAACAATTGTATGTTTTGAGCTGTACTGTACTGTACCCAATATACAAGCTGTTAATAAACTTTTCAATCAATCAATCAATGTTGCCGTTTGATGTCTATGTCTGGACCGCTGCGTAAAAAGGAGGGTTTCTGCCCCGTTACTTCTGCGCTGTTTTTCATGTCCCAGTTCGAAAAGCAAACTGCATGCAGTTTGCTTTTCGGTATACAGTTAAATCGACCGGACTTCTTTCTGAAGATGTGAGCGTCTTAACAACGGTCAATAAGTCCTTGACAGCGGTCTGTCTGTTCGGTATTAACAACGTGTCACGTGTTCTGAATTGACCAATCAGAATCGAGTATTCAACTAAGCCATGTAATAACGTTAGTTACTTCACAGATGTGGATGAAGGATGTGAAATATGATCAATGTTGAATCAGACTTTAGTTCCACCTGGAGTAAATCCACAAGCTACCCTGCAGTATACAAAGTCATTCAAACTAGCTGCACCTTTACCAGCTTTGAGAACACTTTAATGATCAATCATTATAAAACATGTAAGGGATAATGTGCAGTGCCGCGGTCATTATGGGGAAAAGAACACCGACAGGCTGATCAGAGAGCCCGACGCGAAGCGGAGGGATCTAGATCGAGCATATGAAGGTGTTATTTTCCCCATAATACCAAGTCCTGCACATTATCCCCTTATTACATGGCCACATTCTCAACAAAGTAACGTTAATGAATCCCAATATTAATTGAAATGCTTTTATGGATTTAGAAAATTAATTTTATTGATTTAAAAAATAGTTGTATTGATTTAAATTGACATGCATCCGCTAAGAAAGATAGTCCGTTGTTACCGTTTGAACTAACGTAGCAACGGCAGAACTGCTTCGATAGCGTTTTGAGGAGCTTTTTGATTACAGATTTGAAAACATCGTTGCTTTGCTTGAAAAGTAGCACAATTCATGATGTCAAACCTTGGGAAGTATATAGATATCCCTGCGCCTAATGCCAAAGGAACTGCACACTGAATATGTGTCGCCGTTTGATGTCTATGTCCTGGACCGCTGCGTAAAAAGGAGGGTTTTCTGCCCCGTTACTTCTCCGCTGTTTTCTGGTCCCTCTTAGTCTTTTTATTTTCTTCACTGGGGACTCATCAGCACTAACCATTACTCCCAAATTACTGTGCTCTCCTAAATATATTAAAATTAATGTTAAAATCCTCCATGTTGCTATCACACCGACAGCGGAAAACTAAAGACAATCAGACCAGTTTGTCTTTGCAAACTGTTACATTTGAAAAACAGTTAGAGCGTCTCTTGTCAGTTTGAAAAGCCAACGGTAGGAACTGCTTGCGTTTTTGAGGAGCTTTTTGATTCAGATTTGAAAACATCGCTCCTTGCTTTAAAAGTAGCACAATTCATTATGTCCAAACCTTGGAAAGTATCTAGATATCCCTGTCCTGAATGCCAAAGGAACTGGCAAACTGATATGTGGTCGCCGTTTGATGTCTATGTCTGGACCCGCTGCGTAAAAAGGAGGGTTTCTGCCCCGTTACTTCTGCGCTGTTTTTCATGTCCCCAGTTCGAAAAGCAAACTGCATGCAGTTTGCTTTTCGGCCCAACGGTATACAGTTCAATCGACCGGACTTCTTTCTGAAGATGTGAGCGTCCTTAACAACGGTCAATAAGTCCTTGACAGCGGTCTGTCTGTTCGGTATTAACAACGTGTCACGTGTTCTGAATTGACCAATCAGAATCGAGTATTCAACTAAGCCATGTAATAAATCATATATATTATTCTGAAATGGACCAATCTGCACAACGACTACTTTTACTGTCGCTACTTTCACTATATTTTGATGAGAATACTTTTCTACTTTTACTTGAGGAACATTTTGAATGCAGGACTTTTACTGTGACAGAGTATTCCTACACTCTGGTACTTCTACTTTTACTCAAGTACAAGATCTGAGTACTTTTACTCAAGTACAAGATCTGAGTACTTCTACTTTAACTCAAGTACAAGATCTGAGTACTTCTACTTTTACTCAAGTACAAGATCTGAGTACTTTTACTCAAGTACAAGATCTGAGTACTTTTACTCAAGTACAAGATCTGAGTACTTCTACTTTAACTCAAGTACAAGATCTGAGTACTTCTACTTTTACTCAAGTACAAGATCTGAGTACTTCTACTTTTACTCAACGACAAGATCAGAGTACTTCTACTTTTACTCAAGTACAAGATCTGACTACTTCTACTTTTACTCAAGTACAAGATCTGAGTACTTATACTTTT